ATAGATAGATAGATAGATAGATAGATAGATAGATAGATAGATAGATAGATAGATAGATAGATAGATAGATAGATAGATAGATAGACTAAAACCTTACCGCATGTTGTTACAACCAATAAGCTTGTTGAAAGAAATAAAAATTCCAGCTCTAGCACTAGGGCTGCCATGATATCATGATGATCTTAGGTTCAGCAACATATTTACCCCAATAAATGGGTAAACTCCTTGAAAGTTGAAGCTTTAGGAGACCAACGAATCCCTTTTCTAGTGTCTTCTTTCCAATCAAGTTCAGTTTCTTTGTCACTTGAATCCAAAAGCACCTTGATGATTTCAGATTAAGGCACAAGGCTACAGCGAAAACCTGATTTTGCATTATCCAGTGGTGTTTTTCATTTTCTCTGCTCGTCTTTTCCCCTTTCTTTTCCTTCAGGGTTAGGATAACACAGGGATGGTTTTCTCATTTATTATGCAAGACCTTTGCATGGCTGAATGGTTTAAAGTTCCACAGGCACATACCCATGCATAAATGCACATACTTGCACATTACATAACACAAGCAGCATTTTCAAAATGAATACTTTAGCATATAAACTAGATTAACAGCTCTAGTAGAGCAGCTAATAATTTATCAGACATATTTAAGTTAGAGACGTACGAACAAGAATTAAACATCTGAAAAGAACCATCCTACTTTTGATATCTGTATAAAAGTTTTATATTTGTTTATTTTGTTTGTTTTTTTTTCACAAAATTAAATTGGAGGTAAGATATTCTGCTATTTTCAAGTACATATTAGGAGAAACAATGTTGTATCACCTCAGTCTCAACGGTGAATTAACATTTTATTTAGCAGTTACACTGCCTTGCAAAAAAAGTCTTACTGCTCTAAATTTTGCTACAAAAATTAACTTTAATGTATATTGATTTTATGTGATAGATCAACACAAATAAGTGATAATAGGGCAGTGGAATACAGAGAACTCATACAATCCGGCACAATTGAGTAAAAATAGGTTTAAGTTTATAATATAGTCTTCAGTCTTAAGCTCATACGAGAGTAAGATTGTAAAACAATATTAGAGCATTTTAAAACGTTTATAATCAGAAAGAGTTCAACACAGCTGCAAACCTTTCATGACATAAATACAGAAGGAGAGCAATAGTCACAAAAGCAGCCAAGAGACCCATGTAAAGATGGAGGACCTGCAGAGACCCACTGAATAGGTTTGATTTGATTTGATTTGATTGAGAGCCCCATTAGCTTCTGACTGGTTACAGGAGTTATTCTGCCTGGGGTCTCTTTCATTTTAATTATAAATGTACTTTTATAAAATGACATACACTTTTAAACCCAGACATCAATACATAACAAACTGTAAAGGCACAGTATGAAAACATTTATTATTAATGATAACATATCAAATATATACATTAAGTTAAATACTAAACAACAATTTTCATTATCATTGCAAATAACTAAGCTCCTAAGTCCCACATCTAATGCAATTATTTACAAGTTATACACTGATATAACATGGTTGCTGTTGTCTTAAAACATACTTTGCAAAATTATGTCATCCACGACAGTATTTCAGGACTTTTTCTAATATACTTTACACACCAACATTTAGTTTATTATTGCTGCTTGCAAGTAATTGATATCATTCAGAATTCAGCCTTGTGTAAATGGAAAAAATTGCAATATTTTATTTTTGTCTAGTACAAAAAACTCAATGTAATGCATTCCATGCAGCCATGGCTCTGTAAAAACAGCTCTCTGTATTCTTTTATGGCGTAATATAACTGTGTACTTAAATGTAAGTCAATACATGTAAATACATCTAAGATTCGTATTTCTTCCTTGATGTCAAGTCATACATTCGTGTTACTTCAGGTGTTTCATTTTGTGAGAATTCAAGTTTAGAAATTACAGTTTTGCAAAAACTGCAAACATAAATCACAAATTTCACTTGTAAATTTGTGATTCCTCCTGGAAATGTGTTTTTCATACTTCTACATTTGTGATTCCATGAGGCATTCCACAATCTAATTTCAGAATAACTACCAATAACCAAATATTTAGATAAGTCCATCCACTTTAATGCCAATATCTTACATTTATATTTATTTTGAATTTTTAAGAAAATTGTATTGTTTAAAATACCAAAAGCTGCTCCAAATCATCATGTGTATGGAAGGACTGATGGATCTAAATACAGAACAACATGAGAGAAACATGCCAGAGGCAGGAACACAACTTTAGTGGTCTGAAGCTTAATCAGTTGTAATGGTTTTTTTACCCCTCTCCCCTTTACCATTACACATCATGTTAGTATAATTAAAATAATAAAAAATAATAATTATAATAATAATAACATGATTAATAAAAAAAATGGTTTGAAACAAATTTCTGAGTTAATGCTCTGTCAAACTGAACAAATTACAGCAATACACATTGGTTAAATCCATCGTTACATTGCACTATGGGATACTTCGCTTAGTCCAACAGAGAGAAGAAGGTCAATAGATGATGCATTGATGCAACTACAGATACTGTCATAGTCGAAAGAAATATATAATTGTAAGTATTATTGAAAATAATTGGAAATAAAGATAAATGTGAGATTTGAGTTTTTGCTGAGGGACACCAACAGTATTGAGAAAAAATAACATCATTATTTGATCTCCAAATCTCCATCTAAATAGAAAGAGAAGACATGATTGTCAAAAGTAAACAGTAGAATGTAACGTGAGATGTTACTGATGAGGGACTAGAAGACGGATATCGAATTTCTCCCGTAGCAAGGAGGTACCAAGCATGGCTAAGACTGAGAATGTTAGACGTTTTGTGGGTGCACAGTGAATTGAGTTCCTGGAATGCTTGATTAAATAGGAAAAAAAAAAAACATCTAATACTTCCTGATATAAGTCCAAACAATTAAACAGCATTATACCTACCTGTATGTTTTATTCAGAGCCTGTTTATTCACTTATTATTCACTACATCTAATGGGATGCTCCAATAAGAAGGTGGTGGAACAAGGTGTTCAGGAATTTTGCAAAGGATGGTTCATCTTTGGGTGACTAGATTTTAGTGATGAAGAAGATATCTTGACAAAAATCTTCAGAAAACTTTCAGAAAAAGTTTCTTAAATCATGTAAAACCTAATTTCAAAATACCTTAGTCAAAAAAAAAGTTCTTTATGACTATCTATATTCTAAGCATATCATTGATTTTTGAAGCAGGAAACAGCATACTCATTTAAAAGGATCTATTCACATACTATGCCTATAATAAACACAAACAACCTATATTCAGGTAAAATAAAACAATCAGTACCATCTAATAAAGCCAGTATGTGTTCTGAAACAGTTTTTTAAAATCTTTTTTGAGCCTGAAAATAATTTTTGCAACAGGCTGGATCAGCATAAAACATTGAACGCTGTTGCCATCTACTGGCAGCACTTAATCCCGCAAGGCTTTAGCTCCCAATTCAGTGAACCCCAACATTTGGATTTTATTCCAAGTGT